GGTTGCTGCACACTTTAGTGTTCTCGACAAGAACAAAACAGTTTCACTATTTTTTACACAACATGTTGTTATGTAATGTAAGCACGAAATGTTGGCTGGGAATCTGTAATGTATCCACCCCACGCTCGTAACCTACTGACCAAACTTTAGTTTCCCTATGGGGTGGGGACAGATTGTCCTATAGCTCATATAAACATTCCAAACGTACGAAATACACAAATTTTAAAATACACACGTCATTTTAATGCACGTACATTTAATTCACATATATACTCATATCAATCATTTTTGAACACACAAGTCGTTTTGAAACACATAACATTAAAAACGCACCGTCACGCCGTTTTAAAAATGCACACATAATTTTAAAACAAACACGCCATGGCCTCCAATACGTACTTTTGAAATATTAGTACGTTTTATTCTAGTATACACAAAATAATAAATTTACATTTCGCGCCTCGTACAGACGAGACAATATGGTGTTCAGAAAATCATTTAAAAAATTACCTTTTCGGGCTAGCCTAGGTCGAAAGAGACCGATCGTTGTACGTGTTGTGACAGTGTGACATTGACACTTTTTTAGAAGGAATGGCAAAAACATATCAGGAAGAAGAAACTTTCAGTCAATCAACAACAACAACAATCATCAAGACAGCAGATGGTACTGCTGTAACTGATAAGGTTGATGTCAAAGAAAGATAGGCATGCTATTTTAAGGAGCTGGTTTTAGGGAAGGTAGGCATGGAACTGCAGGTCTCCTTGTCCCCATACAGTTGTAGAACTCCAGAAGATAAATTGAAAAGAATACAAGGTGGCAGACCAAATGGGATACAAGCTGAGCTTCTTTAGTTCGGGCTAAATATCTTGGTAGCTTATTTCCAGGATATGTAATAAAGAAGAAATCCTGTGGACAGGACCATGAGCTTTATTTTCACTACACTATAAGAATAATCCTCTTGAGCAAAATTCAAGACCTATGTTAGAAGAAACTCCAGGGAGGATTCCAAAGAGGTAGAGGCTTTGTTGATAAAATCTTCTCACTTTAGTTGTTCATAGAATAGTGATTAACATTTCAGCACGTTTTTGTAGATTTCAAGGATGCTTTTGACATTGTTCATAGACCAAACGTGTGGCATATACTTCAGGACCAGCAGTCATCCATTTAATCAACTTTGTATGGGACCTGCCATGCATTGTCATTGTAGATGGACAACAGATTGACTGGTATACAAACCCTTAAAGGAATTCAACCTGGATGGTGTCTCTCAGACAAGGATTTTGCAGATGATGTCACTTTACTTGAATCTATGACTGCAAGTGGCAACAAGACCCTCCAAAACTTGGTAAAGTCTGGTTGTGAGGTTGTACTGCTGAGGCCTTATATCCCATAACCAAAGACACTGGGTTTGGTGATTTAGACCTAGTGATCACACTGGATGATACTCCTGGATTTTACCAGGTATATATCTAGAATCTTGTGCCCCCAAAACAAACAAACTGGACACAGATTCAGGCGAGAATGGGAAAAGCATCAGTGGTCTTTTTACAGCTGAGTAAATTGTGGAAGAGACATGCAAGCCTCAAGTCTAAATCGACACGCACTCTACAGAGCAAATACATGGGCTACCTACACAAGCTTGATGCATTTTACAGCCAGTGCCTCAGAAAGATCCTGGAGGTGCAATAGTCGAAAGGAGGCAGTTGAGAATGAAATTAATGAAATTGAACAGACTCTGTGCAGGTAAGTATGAAGAAAAGGGTGAGTACAGATTGCCTGTTGCTGAGCGCGAAAATGTTCGCCGGGTGGTCACTATCCCTGAGAACCTCCCTCTTAGTGTATCCGAACGTAGCGTATTGAGTCGGGGACTGAATTTCATTCCGGTTAAATCTAGAGTAAATGAATTTCAGGTGAAACGCGATGCTGACAGTTTTTTTCTCCGACTAAGACTGAAGGAGTACCATGTGCAGGACGCTGATCGCGATCGCGATGAAGCTAGCCAGGACATGGATACTATTCACAACGCTCGTTTATTTGGAGCACCACCATCTGTGACTTATTGGACACCACCACCTGGTCGTAATAATACTCTGGATCATTATATAAGTGTGTGTAGACGAGAAATACATACTATTAAGTTTAATAATCAGAAATGGCAAAATAGCAATATAACTCGTCAGAAACGTGACGCTCTAAATTCTCTAAAGTCACGACGTGATGAAATTGTTATTAAACCAGCTGACAAGGATGGGGCAGTAGTGGTTTGGCGTGGAGATTTGTATCTGATGGAGGCAGAGAGGCAGTTATCGGATACAGACTCCTACCGGGCACTTGATGTGGATATCACGAATGAAATGGGAAATAGGTGATGTCGTTAATGGCTATATTGCTAAAGGTGATTTGCCGAAAGAGGCCAAAAATCTTATAGTGCGCAGACCACGGACATCAGTCTTTTATCTATTACCTAAGATTCACAAGGTAAACAATCCTGGTAGACCCATTGTCTCAGCATGTAATTGTCCGACTGAGCACATAGCTCGATATTTGGATTCAATGTTGAGACCAATTGTTGCGTCACAGCCTACGTATGTTCAGATACTAATGATGCACTTAGAAAACTAGAGTTATTTCGTATCACACCGGGATAAACCAGATTTTT